TGTGTGTGTGTGTGTGTGTGTGTGTGTGTGTGTGTGTGTGTGTGTGTGTGTGTGGTAAAAAGCATATCACGTAAAATTTACCATCTGACCCATTTCTAAGTGTACAGTTAGCAGTGTTAAGTATATTCACGTTGTTGTGCAACCATCACCACCCTCTATCTCCACCATTTTTTTCATCTTGCAAAACTTATCATCTATACCATTAAACAGTAACTCCCTTATTTCTCTCTCCCTCGAGTCCCTGGCAACCATTCTACTTTCTGTCTCTGAATTCGACTACTCTGGTGCCTCATAGGAGTGGAATTGCGTAGTATATTTTCTTTTCTGATTGGAATATTTTACTTAGCGTAATGTCCTTAAGATTCATCCACGCTGTAGCCTGTGGCAGACTTTCCTTCCTTTTTAAGGCTGAATAATATTCCATGTATGGATTGACTGCATTTTGTTCATCTGTTCATCTTTCAGTGGACACTGGGGTTGCTTCCACTTCTTGGCTATTGTGAATAAGGCCGCTATGAACATGAGTGTACAGACGTGGTTATTTTTGAACTGGGTAGACACAGGGCATGTTTTTTACATTGAAAAAAAAAACCCAGAAATACATTTTTTATGTCAGGTTAAGCTAATTGCTTACTTTCCTCACTCTGAATAGTGAATACAATGAGAACCTTCCAAATCTGCAGGCTGGTAAAATTCTGCAGGAGAGAGTGGGGCAGGTGTAAGTACACAATATCAGCAGAAATTAGCAGTTGCATTTGGCAGCGAGGATGCGTATACTTAGGAGCTGGTTTTTGTTGACAGTTTGCTCTAAGTCAGTGGTTCTCCACAGGGATGATTTTGTCCCCAGGAGACATTTGGCATTGGAGGGCGGTATACAACTTGCCTCTAGTGGGTAGATACCAGGGATGCTACTAAACATCCCAGAATGCATGGGACAGATCCCCACGATAAAGAACTATCCAGCCTAAAATGTCTACAGTTCCAAGGCTGAGAAATCCTGCACTAAGCTGATTATCACTAGACACTTTCTGGTAGAANGTCCCGAGTCTTCATGTCAATCATCCATCACCTAAGAACCATCCTAGTTGCCCTGTTCTCATTATCTCTCTGGCTGTGCCTGTTTCACATAGGCTCATCTTGTTTTCAGGGGTTCAGTGCTGTTGGCCAGTCTCTATACCTTGTGTTGTAATCACCCCTATTGAAATCGGGAAGCTTGTTCCTCTCCAGACGCTCCCCCAAGCTTACACAGGACATCTACCAGCACTTTTCAAGGATGCTGGTCCTCCCACATACAACGTAGTTCTCAAAGCCAAGGTGAAAGGAGTATCCCCAGGTCCTCATGGGGGACATAGTTAAGGGTGGATGACTAGGTTGCAAATGATAAATTAACAACAGTCTTTTCTTTCTAAGTTGTCGGATTCTTTACATTACACCAAGGAATTTCTGGCATCTCAGCTTTAGTTTTGGCCATGCTTGAGTCAAGGAATTGAGCAAATAATTTAGAACCATCCCCAGATGCTTGAGTTAGCACTGTGAATCAAAAAATTCTGACGAGCATCTAAATTCAGCTGATTTAAAATTACGATCCTCTTTGCCTGTAGTCTAGCACTCTTCGACTCTCTTTTTCCATGTGGTTCCAAGGTTTTCTCTCTAGAAATTAATGATGTCTTGTAATTCTTTTTGTGTATAAGTCTGTTTATATGCCTGGAGGCAGTGAGGGGTCGAAGGGGTCAGGTATGAGGAGAATTGGCTTTCTCTTGCAAGGTAACTCCCTGAGCTGCAGCCATTGTTTACCTTTAAGCAAGGTGGCGCTAGCCTTATCAGACAGTGAGGCCTGTGTCTGCCGGTATAGGAAACTCAGTAGAGTTTAGGGAATTCTGTTATCTGAATCATCCCAAATGTCCCCATTTAAATTCTTGGGTCTTACCCTTTCAGAATCAATGTCTGCTTCTGCTCCTGGCCATGATGAACCAACTGATAACTAGAATAACCCTCTTGCTTTCAACAACCATTGCAGTTGTTGTTGCTATGTAACCAACCTCATCAGCCCTTAGGTGGCTTGAAACAACAGCAGCGGTTTGTTTATCTCTCATTGTTTCTGTGGAACAGACATCTAGGAAGGGCCTGACTGGGCCACTTATGATGTGAAAAAGGTGAGGTGATACAATATTAACTAACTGAATTTTGATAAACTGAAGATGCCCGTGAGCAGCCCTAGAACAATTACTAAAAAATAATAAAACGATGTGTCGCTAAAGGCAATAGTGGAAATGAGACAAATGACTAAAACATACTGATTAACTCAGTCACATGCCTTCACTTTCACATAGAACTGGTGGAACTGAATTCATCCCACCTGTAATAATTCAGCAATCCTGCAGGACCAGCGTCTACATTTGATTTTTTTTTTTAAAGATTTTATTGGGGAATTGGGGGAGGGGAGCAGCGTTGGGGAATTGGGGAGGGGAACAGACAAGTTGCTGTCCTTTTGTTTTTCAGTCTAGTTGTGGAGGACGTCGCTTCACTGGCCATGTTGGTATTATTATTGCGCTCTTCCCAGGCGAGGCAGTCGCTCGCTGGCCACTGGACATTTGATTTTTGACTGGGCCACCTTGGCAGTTACGAGGGAAAAGAAATTCTTCTACGTAATCATAGGAATTCTCTGGTTCTCTGACCTTGAAGATGTAAAATATTGAGTGTCATTTCCTTTTTTCGAGCCGTCCAGTGAGGTTAGCAGCAGCCAGCCTACCTCACAGTTTTGTGTTCTCTCTCATTGTCCTATCACTCAGTGCACAAAAGCCTTCATTAGGTAGATGCTAAGTTACCACAGGTAATAATTTAAGTAATCCTTTCATCGCTGGAAAGCACAGACTAACAGTGTTCTACCCTCTCATGATCTCTGGATCCTCATTGTCTTCAGATCCAACCCAAGCAGATAACCAATCATAAATATTCATTTTCTGCAGGGTGATGTTGCCTACAACCACTCCTGTACCCCGTTACTATTATGGTCATTGTTTAATGACCAAAGAACCCATTCTAACCAGTTAAAGCAGAAAAGAACTTATTAAGTGAATCAGCCTCCAGAATTGCTGGGAGGATGCGGGTATCAAGTTTCAGTGCCATGCTGCCAAGAGAAATGCTGTCAACAGCACTGTGAGATCATTTTAGCAAAACTCCTGCATGGCTGCAGTCTTGTTACACATAATTTGGTTGAATACATATTCATATACGTAAAAATACATACATTGAATATTTATGTAGGTGGCCTTATAGAGTTATGGTTAGATACATTAATAACTATTATATTATCTGTGAATAGATGAATTACATGGATTATATTTTCAAACTTCATGTTTATTTTGGCTATTTAGGGCTTAGGACTGTTTTCCCTTAGGATCTGTTTTATAAATTCTGTTTCAATTTTCAGAGGAGGTGTAAAATGCCTCCATAATCCATGCTGTATCAGAAAAGTAAAACAGCCAGCATGCAAACATACTTTGGGGAGCACAGCCATCTTTTAAAAGATTTCATAAAAATTAGACTGCTTAAGAATTACAGGTATGTCCAACTTAAAGAAAATCAAATGTACAGACTTTACGATTGTGAACTGCTTAAGTTAAGGGAATCTAAAGTGTCATTTCTGCTACCAAAGGTCAGCTTCCTGGATATCTGCTTCCTGTGGCCATGGCTGTCTTAGCGTCTTGGTGACGCCACTGCTGTGTATGTGAAGGTGTCTGTGTGTGAGACTGGGACAACCATGCTTGCTGCTCTCTGTGAAATTGATCAGAAACGGGGTAATGGCCATGGTGGGAGAAATGGAATAGCATTGGTAACAAGTACAGAGTTAGCTTGGGTGACCAGGTAACTCTGAACTGTGGCTATATGAAAATAATACCCACGCCTGTGCATGTATGGTCTTTCATTTCTAAAGTGAATGGACGGTTGGAAGCAGGTAGGTCTTGTGTTGGCAGGTTTTGTCTGTGAAGTAAGATGCAGTTCGGTTATGAAGTAGGTGTTTGATACTGACTATTAAATTGTAACCTCTTCCTTCTTTTATAAACGTGTCAACAGTCCCAGGCTCCCTGAGCATGTCCTCTTTAAAAAGGGAGAAACATACTCTTCCGTGACGTTGGGTAGAGGTGAATTAAGGTGCTTCTCTAAGCAATGGTCGCAGGTGTGACAGCCAGAGTGGGGAGCTACAGGAGTCCCCCAAGTCCCATAAAGTAAGCCTCTCTTCGGCGCCTTTCCTAAGGATTCCAGATGCCAGGAAAGCGGCATTCACCTCTTGCTTCTTGTTGCTCTCTTCTACTTGTACCATATTTATTTTCTGTTCTTCCCCCTTACTCAGCCTGTGTCCTAGATGGCGGAAATAACCAGGTCATCTCAAACTCGGAAAGTAAAATCTTGGATCATGTGGGATAAAGGACGTGTCTATCGTAAAAAATAACAATTTAGTCATTTCTGTTGTTCTTTCTAGGCAGAAGAAATCCTCAGGCAAGAGCTGGAGAAGAAAGAGACACCGAGCCTGTACTGCCTGCTTGGGGATGTCCTCCGAGACCATGCCCCCTATGACAAGGCCTGGGAGCTGTCCCAGCACCGCAGCGCCCGCGCTCAGCGCTCCAAAGGCCTCCTTCACCTGCGCAGCAAGGAGTTGAAGGAATGCGTGGAGTGCTTCGAACGCTCAGTGAAGATTAATCCCATGCAGGTCAGAAAGCCCCTAAATCCCATCTGCCCTTGGCACTGACGTTTGTCTTTGATTTCGATTCTTACTGAATGAGTACCTGTTTTCTGTCCTAATGACTGGTGAGCTTGTCTTTGAGAGCTAAGAAGTTAGTCTTGCTTGTCACGGAAAGTGGACAGGTAGGTTTCCCCTTGTCCACTTTCTGTTGTGTTTCTCCTATTGGCTTTTCTGTTTCAGTTGGCCATTTTTCTGTTAACTGTCCTTAAGGCAAATACAGCCATTAGGTTCCATTTTGAAAAGGTAGGTGAGGACGGAAATGAATGAGAGTCAAAATTATAGACAGTGTAGGATTCTGCAAGTAATTGCTGAAGTCAATAATGAAAGAAAGGCTTTTATATAAATAAGGTAACATATAGAATGGATTGTGGTTATTTTAAGAAAAAGTGCCTATATTACATACACTCAAATATTTTTAAATATTAAGACATTTTTTTAAAGGCTTGAAAAACTAGTACAAAAAGTCTCTGGATCTTTAAAATAAGTGACAAGATAAAGCCACAGGAGAGGATCTAATTTCAGGAGAAAGCGATCAACCTTATTTTGTACTTAATGATATTGTTATTAAAATGATTTTATTCTCAAAAATAGTCTTTTTTTCATTTAACCAAACTTTATAACTGCTTTCCCATTTTACCAATCAAAGGCACACATAACTGTCAGCCGTGGCTCTTGACAAACATGTAAACTGACTGTTTAATTCTAGTTAGAATGCGAATTTATAATCAGCAACTAATGTTTACCAGGCACTTACTAGGAGCCAGGTACCTCA